TGGCATTATTTCCCACAGAAATAGAACAAACAATTCTAAGATGTGTATAGAACTGCAAAAGTTCTTAATAGTCAAAATAATATTGAGAAAGAAGAACAAAGCTGGAGGCATCATGTTCCCAGATTTCAAACTATATTGCAAAGCAGTAGTAATGAAACCAGTATGAAATTGGCATAAAAATAGATACATAGATCAATGGAACAAAGTAGAAATCCCAGAAATAAACCCAATCTCATATAGTTAATTAATTTACAACAAAGAAGGCAAGAATATGCAATGGAAAAAAGATAGTCATTTTGATAAATAATGCTGGGAAAACTTCACAGCCGCAAGCAAAAGAATTAAACTGGACCACCATCTTACACTGTACACAAAAATTTAACTCAAAAATGGATTAAAGACTTGAATAAAAGATCAGAAACTGTAAAACTTCTGGAAGAAAACATGGTCCCTTGACATTTCTCTTGGTGATATAATTTTGTATCTGACTCCAAAGGCAATAGCAATAAAAACAAAAATAAACAATGGGGCTATGCTGATCTAAAAAGCTTCTGCACAATAAAGGAAACCATCAACAAAGTAGAAATACAACCTTTTGAATGGGAGAAGATATTTGCAAATCATGTATGTAATGAGGGATTAATATCCAAAATATAAAGAACTCATTCAACTCAATGTAACAAACCCATTAAAAAATGTGCAGGGTATATGAATAAACATTTTTCCAAAGAAGACATATAGATGGCCAACAGAAATATAAATAGATGTCAAAATCACTAAGCATCAGGAAAAGGCAAATCAAAACTACAATGAGATATATCTTCACACCTGTAGAATGGTTATCATCAAATGGACAAGGAGTAACAAGTATTGGCAAGGATATGGAGAAAGGGAACCCTGTACACTGTTGGTGAGAATGTAAATTGGTGCAGTCACTATGGAAAACAATATGCAGGCTCTTCAAAAAATTAAAAATAGACTACTATGTGATCGAGGGATTCCACCTCTGTGTATTTATCTGAAGAAAATGAAAACACAAATTCAAAAAGATATATGTGTTCATTACTCCATTATTTACAACAGCTAAGATGCAGAATATAGAAACTAAGTGTACATTGATAAATTAATGGATAAAAATATTACTCAGCCTTAAAAGAGTGAAATCTTACCATTTGCACGAACACGGATAGACCTTGAGGGTGTTAAGTGAAATGAGTCAGAGAAAGACAAAAACCATGTGATTTCACTTGTATGGGAAATATAAAACAAATAAACAAGACAAAATGGAACTCACGGAGAACAGATTGGTGGTTTCCAAGTGGGAACAGGCTGGGGAATGGATGAAATTGGTAAAGGGAATCAGGAGGTACCAACTTGCAGTAATAAGTTACGGGGATGTAATGTACAGCGTGGTGACTATAGTCAATAATATTGTATTACACATTTGAAAGTTGCTAAGAAAGTTTATCTTGAAAGTTCTCATCACAAGGAAAAAATTTAAAACTCTGTATTGTGGCAGATGGTAACTAGACTTACGGTGGCGGTCATTTCACAATGTATATAAATGCTGAATCATTATGTTGCATACCTAACACTAATATAATGTATGTCAATTATACTTCAATAAAAAAGTGACATTCTTTAGTGCTATTCTTTTGTATTGTTCTTTTTCTAATAGTCTAGCTTTACAATGAAAACTGGTATCCATTCAGCTAATGAATGTCCTGCTTGAAGCTGCATCGTTTATACTGATCCTCAGATACACTCCTGCTCCAAAACCATGTTTCGTTCTGTTAGGCTAGTGGGCTGGGGTGTATCTTAATTAAGAAGATGCCCTTTAACAATCTTTCTAATCACTTGTTTCCATTTAAACTGAGACCTTAACTGTAACCAGTGCTGATGCTTAATGGTCAGTAAGGAATTATCCTTCTTATCATGACTACTTCTAACTGACCTGAAAATTTGAGTCAAATAGTTTTATTTAACATGTGACTATTTCCTGGCATATAATAAACAGCAGAAAGAAAAACAATGTCTGATACTCAGATTCTGTGAATCATTTTGATTTTCTTCTTTTTTTATTTACCTTTAAGATAAGATCAAGTTTGTTATTTTCATAAAGGTCTAATCTTTCAGGTTTTAGAATATGGGTCTGATTTTTGATGAGGCTCATTAAAATCTCATCTTTAAATACAAATCAACTTTATTTCCTGAACATTATTGAATATGACCATTATATAATAATGAATAAAATTTTATCTACAGAATCCATGACTAAATCTTTTCATTTAATATTGTTATAATTCTTTGGATCTTTTCTATGTTGTTTGTCATTTTCTATTACTCATTTCTTCACCCAAGAGGAAAGGGTATGGAAATGACATTTATCTTGACATCACTGGCATAAGTTCTTTGTAATGGAAAGCAGAATCAGGGTCAGATGAGTAAAATTAAGAAACACAATAAAGGGGATAAGTCTTTTACAGGTAATGGCTCTGTTTCTTTTTCTAGTCAAAAAAGTTAATATTTAAAATTTACATAAGTGTGATGATACACATTTTGTAATGTCATTAAATTCTGATTGCTTACCTGGATGAAAAGGGTTTTGCTTTTGTCTTCATTAAGATAAATATTTGCTATGATTATTATAAAGATCATAGACCATTACTTAGGTACTAAATCTCTCCTCTGTGGAATGAGATTGCCTCATAGAGGTTGCCGCAGTGGATTATTTTTTCTATTGTTCCTTTGCCTTTAATAGGAGGAAAACTTTGCATGGTCTTTATCCATTTAATATAATGTATATTTCTCTATGATCTACATAGGGCTTGACTTTCAAGAAAAGATTTATGGCAGTGAAGCTCTGAAAGTTAATAATTGGCTTCCTTAGTATCTGTTTAAGTGCATACTTATCTTACCTATAAAAATTGCTATGAGGCTCTATGCCTTCCTTTATATTCTATTGATTCACTAAAGGAAGTAAAACAGTCTCTATCATATAACCTTTTGGTAAAAGAGTACTTTTTACTTTCAAGAAAAGGATCTGTAAGAAAATTCCCCTTGTCTAGACAATTTACACATAATTCTACAAACATATAGTACTTTGATATCTTAACATATGATATCATTGTTTGGCTGTTAGAAACATAGTGTAAGACAGAAGTTACCATAAATTATTTAAGCAAAATAAATGGTCTGCGACAATAAAATTGTCATAAACTTTGAGCTCTGAATAATATATGAGGAAGAGGAGATAGCATATTCTCATATACATGTCAACAAAATAATTGAAATGCCACTTAATGCATCTTTTTTTCCATTGTACATTGGTGTTTATTCATTTTTGCTTATGGTAAACTGTATTTACCATTGTTAATTTTTTTAACCATAATTTTTAAAGATAATTTATTATTGATAACAATAATTTTTTTCATGCTGACATATACTCTTTTAACTGTGAAATAATATTTTGAAAAATTGAAAATATTATTTCTTAATTATCTTAATTGAAAGATACATATGTGTCTTCATATTTATGTTACTGCTATTGGGTTTGAGTGTTCAGAGAAAATATTTATATATTTCAGAATGAACAAAGCAGAAAGTCAACTTGAAATAGCAATTTTAATTTATATATGTTCAATTTGATTTAAATTAAATTGTATCGATAATTTAAAATATTATACAGATGAGGTGTTTTTTTTTTTCCTTTCATTTTTCCCCTATTTCACCCATACCTTGATGCTTTTTGGCAACCACCATTCTGTTCTTGGTGTTTATAAATCTATTTCTGTTTGTTCATTTATTTTGATTTTTAGATTCAATGTATAAGTGAAATCACCTGGTATTTGTCTTTGACTTATTTCACTTAGCTAACCTTAAATCAGGTTGTTTGTATTTAAATTACTTTTTAATACATTGATAGTTATAAAGGTACTATCCAGTTCACCTCCAAGGATGACTTGTTCTTATGGTGGCTTTAGAAGTTTTAACAAATAATAATGATATTGATAACCGATTTTATCATGTAATACTACATGCCAGTCATCATGCAAAATATAGTAGACCTTTGAACAGCAAAAGGGTGCTGACTCTTTGCAGTTAAAAATCCACGTATAACTTTTTGGGTCCCCCAGAATGTAACTACTAATAGCCTGCTTTTGACCAGAAGCCTTACTGATAACATAAACAGTCAGTGAACACATATTTTGTATATCATACATATTATATGTTGTATTCTGACAATAAACTAGGGAAAAGGTTTTTTTAAATAGTCATAAATCTCCAAAATATTTTTGAATATGTTGAAAAAAAACCTGCATAAGTGGACCCATGCATTTCAAACCCATATTGTTAAAGGGGTAACTGTGCTTTATATGTACTTAATTACCACATGTAAAATATAGAATAGGGACTTAAAATTGTGCCAATTGAAAGGTGAAAATCCAAAGCTCAGAAAGTTAATTAGTTTACCTAAGGTCACCTAAGAAATGGCAGAGTAAAGTTTCAAACTAGTCCAGCATGGCCTCAACGCCCTTACTTTTAACCACTATATTTAATAGAGTGCTCAGGCTGCCTGAGGTACAGACTGTAAAAAGCCAAATGTAAAATATTTTGGGATTTTGTAGGCCAGTTGTTAACACCATTGGCAGATTGAAATTAACCATGGTACAAATATTTATATCATGAAAATTGTCAGATACCTCAAATTGGGGCTTATCCCGCACTACTCTTCCTCTCCTCTACCAGACAGTTTATTAGCATATCACTGTCTTTACTGCCAAAGTCTTTCAATGTTTACTTCTATATTAGGTTACAGATAAAAATACCAGATATAAATTTTTTATCATATGTCAAATACTGCCTATAAACTGCTATCCATTAAGAAATTTACCATTCATAGTTATTAAATTCAGTAAGTCATCTTTTATTATCATATCTAGGATAATTTCTTATAGAGAAGAATGTGCAAAATAATGAATTATCTCTTTTATTTTCAGTGATAGTGGAAAGTGGAAATATAACATCTTTTGTGGCTTATATTAATTCTGGATATTGTAATATTTATAGAAGTATTGTAGGACTTGTGAGACTACCATCAAAAAAAGTGGTAAGTTTTCATTTATTTTTCTCTTGAATCAATTAATTTACTCTAATGAACCAAAGATGTTGAACATCTTCCTATGTTCTTATTGGGCATTTGTTATTTGTCTTACTTCATGAAATTTCTGTTCAAATTTTTGACAATTTTTTTCTTTCCTTCTTTAATGAATTGTAAGATATAGAAATTTAAGATAAATTGTAGGGTATATTGAGTTGTAAGACATAATAATGACCAATAAACACATTAAAAGATACCTAACAAACTTATTCATCAGAGATATGCAAATCTTCTCAAGAGAAATGAAAATATGTCTCTACAAAGAAACTTACATTTTACCTAAGGTCACCTAAGAAATGGCAGAGTAAAGTTTCAGACTAGTCCAGCATGGCCTCATAAGTCAAATCCTCATAAGTCAAAAACTGTAAGTAATCCAAATGTCCACTGACAGTTGACTGGATTGAAACATAGTGTAATGTCACACTCAACAAAAAGAAATAATGACATATACAAGGACATGGACAAATCTCAAAGCATTAGATTGAGCACAAACAAACCCAAAAGAATGCATATATATGATTCCAGTTTTATCAAGTTCTTGTACAGGCAAAATACTCGTAATGCAGTGTGATAGAAAGTAAGACCTAATCCTTCTTGGTTGGTCAGGCAGTCTTCAATGGAATTCAATTTAATATGTAAACTTAGTTGAATTCTGCTTATACTAGTTGTATTTAGTGTGAAGATTTGCTATATATACAAGTAAATTCTTCAAATTTGGATATAGTTTCTGACCTCAGGATACTTAATACAGGCTTTCACCTCTTCTGAGGTCCCATCACCCTCCTATCTTAGGGCTACACTATTATTGTCATTTTTGTTTTTCTTTTTATTTCTATAATGTTGAGCTTTCCCTGAAAAGATACATTGAAGTTTCAACTCTTTCTCCAGATCCATGAGTACGGAAGATCCTGTAGGCTGTTTTCCACAAAATTCCTAATTTAGAACTAAATTGCTAGTTCCTTGAGTCAAATTAACTTTCCATGCTCTTTTTTTTCTTAAACAGGAAAGTCAGGGTAGAATTCCACTTTTTTGCAATTAATCCCATCTTTTTGCAATTTCAGATATGTGTACTTAATTACTTTTTTGCAGTTTCAGATATAAGTTCTGGTCATAGCTCTCTGCTTTTTTTTTTTTCTGTTCTAACTTAATTACTTTTTTGCAATTTCAGATATAAGTTCTGGTCATAGCTCTCTGTTTGTTTGTTTTTTTCTGTTCTAACAAATGTACCTTGCAACTGAAGATGAGGTAACAAATGGTAGTTCGCAAAACATACTAATCTAAACTATGCTTACAAAATGGTATCATACCTAGGACCTTGTAAATTGGAATGAGTTCAGTGTTTCCTAAACATCTTAGTGGATAAAAATTTTAATTGAAGATCACTAAATGACACTGCTTTCTGTTACCTTAGATATGCTGAAGCTGTCTATCAATTTACTATTCTAATTTAAATACATGTGTAAGTAAATGTTTTCTCTGATTTAAATGAAATTACTATTCATTTTAAATAGCATATACCAAAATGATTTATGAACACTGAATTTCTGATAGTAACAATATTTATCCATTATATGAAAGTTGTTTCATTAAACAAAAATTATCTATATCCCTTACAGAAAAAAATTCAAAAACTTGTTTATATGGGTAAACTTAATGAGAAGGAGTCCTTTGGTGAAATTAATGTTCTTCTTCAAGTTCCTTTCACATGCACAATAGTTACTGGAAATGAGGTCGAGATGGCAATCATTGAAGATAAGGACATACTTGGTAAATACATAAATGTATTTTATGTTAACTGTTATACCATTTTATTTGCTGAGTTCTGATTCACCCTAAACTTGACAAGAGTGAACGTATTTCATAGACAAATTGGGACATTCAGGTTAAGTGTAGGTGTATGTATGTTATTTATAGAGACAACATAGCTATGTAGACAGACCCCTTTAAAACTTCATTTTCTGATTTAATTGTGCTACTTTTAGAATATATTAGCAATACTTCTTTTAGTTGACATACAATGTTATTTTATTAGTTTCAGGTGCACAACATAATGACACTTAGCATACATTACAAAATGTGAACCAGGACAAGTGTAGTTTCCATCTGTCACCCTACAAAATTATTAAAATCTTATTTGACTATATTTCCTATGCTGTACTTTCCCATCCCAGTGCTTTTTTGTTTTATAGCTGGAAATTTGTTCCTCTTAATCACTTTCCTCTATTTTGTGTAAACCCCTCATTTCTTTCTGCTATGGCAACCACCAGTGTGTTTTCTGCTTTTATGAGTCTATTCTGTTTTGTTTGTTCATTTGTTTTGGTTTGTTTTTTTTTTTGATTTCAGATATAAGTGAAATCATATGGTATTTATCTCTGTCTGATTAGTTTCATTTAGCATAACATCCTCTAGGTCCTGGTTTGAAGTTATTAAAACCTCTCTGCTAATTACCAAGTAATCATTAATAGAAACACTCCTTCCTTTTCTGGAATATCTTCTGGTTTTTTTACCACTAAAAATATTGTTTCTGTTTCTGGTTCAGATCAATACTGTACTCCAATGTACAACCTAGATCAAGTACATATAAAGATCTATGGCTTGCAATATTTAAGCCTTTATCTGCAATTTTAGAGCTCTAGTAATATCAAAAGAATAATCATGCAGCCACCTGTGTCTGGACCTCCAAATATTACAAATACTCAAATAAGATATGCAATTGAGTAAGAAGGACAAATGAGTAGGGGCCAACATCATAACATAATAAGATATTAAAGAAAAGCATAGTTTTATGTATAATAAAACTAGGAATGTCAAACATTAGCTAAAGGATAAAAGGAGAAATTCACAGAGATTAACATGGGCAAGAGATTTGTTTTAAATATGTTCAATTAGAAACATTTTCATGATTACCCATATATGATTTGACTGAATCTCCTTATCCAGAATTTCTCATATTTTTTGTCTTTTCCAGATATGTACCTTCTGTCTGCTTACTCTGATTCTGTTCATCTTTAAATTCATATATCCATTTTTTATTGAAGTATAGTTGATATACAATCATATATTAATTTCAATTATACAATACAGTGGTTCAACAGTTATCTACATTATTAAATCTTCACCCCAACTAGTGCAGTTACTATCTGTCAACACAGGAAAATGTTATAGAATCACTGGCTGTATCCTCCCTGCTGTACTGTCATCCATGTGACCAAATTATAAATTAGAATTTGTGTGCCTGTTCCCCCTCACCCTCCCTTCCCACCCACCACCTACGCCTCCCGCATGGTAACCACAGTCACTTCTCAGTGTCTATGAGTCTACTGCTATTTTGTTTATTTTGTTTTGTTTTTATATTCCACATATAAGTGAAATTATACAATATTTGGCTTTCTTTGCCTGACTTATTTCATTTAACATAATACCCTCTAGGTCCATCCATGTTGTAACAAATGACAGGATTTTTTTCCTTTTTAACAACTGGATAATATTCTATTGTATATAATACCACATCTTCTTTATCCACTCATTTATTGATGGACACTTAGGTTGCTTCCATATCTTGGCTATTGCAAATAGTCCAGCTATAAACATAGGAGTGTATATATCTTTTCAATTCAGGAATTTTGTTTTCTATGGGTAAATACCTAGGAGTGAAATTATGGGGTCATAAGGTACTTCTATTTTTAATTTTTTGATGAACCTCCATACTGTCTTCTACAGTGGTTGCACCAATTTACATTCCCACTACCAGTGTAGAAGGGTTCTCTTTTTTCCACATCCTCTCCAACATCTGTTATTTCTTGTCTTTTGGATAATGGCCATTCTAACTGGTATGAGATGACATCTCATTGTAGTTTTAATTTGCATTTCCCTCATGACTAGTGATGTGGTGCATCTTCGCAGGTGCCTGTTGGCCATCTGTATTTCTTCTTTGGAAAAATGTCTGGTCAGGTCCTCTGCCTATTTTTTAATTGGGGTATTTGGGTTTCTTTTTGTATTGAGTCATGTGAGTTCTCTATATATTTTTTATGTTAACCCCTTATAGGTTATATATCTATTTAAAATAGCATTGATTGTCTTTCCATCTCTGACATTCAAAGACAAACCCCCCTCAAGATGCATATCATTTAAAAATAATTACTAACCACCAATTAAAATTATAATATTCTCACTTGAAAGAGGCTAGGCTTTTCTTTCCATGTACTAATTATGTTAACTGGTGCAAGGTGAATACACTGTGGACTCTTTTATGGAAATCAACATTTCACACATGAAAGTGATTCTTTCAAGAATGTATTAGAATAATTCTTTGCCATCTGACAACCTAAAATTCAAATAGATGGTATAGTATAAGCTTCAGTTGTGTTTTTGTGTGCGCTGCTCATTTTAAAAATTTCATTCCATAGTTTGGTCTTTGCGGACTGACGTTATAAAGCTACTGACATGGTGTGTGCCTAATTAGTCAAACATTCCATAAATGGAGATGTTTTTGAGAACTGGATTTTGCTTGTTTGCCACAACTTAAAAAGAAATAAAATATTGTATTTAGTTTCAGTCTTTATTTCTACATTCTAATTATTTTATATTTTATTACAAAAAGTAAAGTATTTTAAAAGATAATTTTAATGAAAACATAAATTTTTCTGAAAGAATTCTCTTCACACATGACAAAGGATGATCTTTACATTTGCATTTTCATATTACTTCATTTTGTTTGTATTAACTCACTCCTTTTGTCATCCAAAATATGGATCTTCTTCAAATAGGATAGGTCAGGACCTAAAAGAAAGTAAAATGTTCCTTAAAAAAAATATTCATTTGATAAGAAATGAAAATGTTAAACTAGACTAATAAACATGACTGTAGCCCATGATACATCGTCTTGCTTTCAGAGTGATACTGTTGTCATTAGTCATTATATTACTTTAGTGTTAGGAATAATTGTTTATATTTGAAGTGGTCCATTAAAAATAAACAAAAATAAATAAAACCAATATGTTCCAAAGAATTATCAGCCATATGTTTTTGCCTATACTTTCTAATATAGCAAATATTGTTAAATATAGTAATATTTTTAAGAATTGTAAAATGTATTTTTGGAAAACTAAAGTTCATATTTTTTCTCAAGTGTACAGTTCACATTTTCTATTTTTCCCCCTTAAGTCATTTAAAGGGACAATATTGTGTAAATGATCCAGTTTATCAATAATACTTAGTCAGTACTTAAAGGGAGCATTCACTATACCTATACCTGAGGATAGATAGAACAGAATCCAAGAAGCATAAATGACTCCATAAATGTCATAGAGGATGGCATGCAATAATTAGTTTTGTAATATTTAAGTAGACTTGCAGAGTTATTTCTTTGTTCATTTAGATTGTTAACTTTTATAAAATTGGAAATAACTTGTTTTGTAATCTATATACATACTTCTCAGACATTACCTTGTACATCTAAATAATAAAGAAAACATTATTATGTTTAAGAAAATATAAATGTGCTCTTTTTTCATATAATTCTACTGAGAATATAGTTTATTGATTATTATTTTTATGATGGTAACATATTTTTGTCCAGATGCAGAACTTATACCTCAAATCATTCCAATTAAAATTATGCATACCAACTATTTTAATTTTACTGATATCTGAAATTCTCATTCTACCATTAAAACAAGTGTTCTACTTTTGTAGTGAGAAAAATTGCTTTTTATCTAAAGAAATGAATTATCCCTGTTATTAATTATGTCTCATTCAACCATGTATGATTGAAAAAATAAGGGATAACTATAGATTTTAAATTATCTTTCTCAGAAGGAAGATTCTATTTCCAAGGTGACACTGGAAAAAACTACCTGAAAGTTTTTGTTTGTTTTTAAACAGAAAGAATATCCAAAGACTTTTATCTCTAATAGTGATTCTCTTAATCAAAAGCCTAAGGAAACCAGGTTTTTTTACCATACATTTGTCTGCATTTCAAAAGCAATGAATATGTTCTTATCAAGATCTATTTCCCTCCAAGTCATTATTTCTCCTCCCTGCTGAGGCAAGTTTTAACCAAGAGTCTCTTTGGTAGGTAGCAATGTTAGTCAGAAGAGCTTAAACTTTGAACAATTTGCCACAGTAAATATGCTTCTCTTTCCGCCTTTGATTTTTTTTTTTTTTTGCTTTATAATGAAATTTTGATATAAAGTCCAAGTTAAACCTAAGGCATGACATTTAAAAATATTTTCTCTTGTGATTGTTTTTTACTCATTACTAACAATGTTAAGACAAATTATAAGTTAATTTGAGTAAAATTTTTGATTTATTGGGTTTTTGACAAAGTTTTGAGTGAAAATTATATTTCATACGATTGTTTCTCATATTGTCATTTTATTCCATTAGGTATTTTATAAATATATTGGAGAGTTGTTTTAACAATAAGACCAACCAAATATTTTGAACATTTTGCAGACATTTACAGTTTTTACTTGGGGAAATTAATTTAATCTTATGAAATAGCACATTAAATATGTCTGTCTTTTATATATGCAGAAACAGTAACAATCAGGAAATAATGTTGACCTTGGATGCAGTTTGATTATTTACATTTCTAGCCACTTATAAATTTTGTGTTTTGTTTTGTGAAAAGAAGTCAATGTTTTTGCTTGTTTGTCTTTTCAGTAAGCTGTTTCATAAACAAAAATATTAACCCATCTCAACTTATGGACCTTTGTTTGGCAGAGTTATTTTATGATTTTGTGGTTGGCAGAGTTGATTTTAGT